CCGATGGTTGGCGTAATTTAAAGACAGCCCCTAACTTACACTTCTCAGTTCCTCATTCATGAAGAAGTTTGTTGAAAAATAAGGAGAATTCCAGAAGGAGATCCTTTTTACATGAATGTTTACATCAGGAAAATTTAATAAAACGTAGGTTAAATTCTTCGTATTCCCAACATTTCATAACAACTTTACTTAAATAACTATGCAACCCTACTTAAGGACTTGAATTGATTTCAGGGTTTAAAAAGACACTTACTTAGAGCATAATTTCAATTACCTAATTTTGCTCAATAGGTTTGACCCACATCAAAAGTTAACAAGAAAAACATCACTTTCAAAATTTTTACTTCTTACTTCACCAATTTAAAAAAGGGTGAACTTTTCTTTCATCTTCTTTTTCAGAGAAATTTTTTGTGAGCCATGCATCATTAAACATATTAAAGATCATCCGGTCGGACTGTTCCTACCCACAGTAAGGTAAAAATTGGCAGTAAGTTAAAAATTGCAGAGTAAGATTCACGTTCCTTCAGTTACACCTTTTGTACTTAGGCCATAAAAGGTTAAACTTACTAGAGTTTTACTATCTTCTCTTCATCACTCATCTTTGCTAATATTTTTGTGTTGTCCCGATTACTTAAATGTAAGTACCTAAGACAATTTTAAAAGAACTTTAGGGAATCAGGAAAATGCAGACTAACATTTAAACTGCATAGAACAGAAGAAAACTGACAGGATTACAGTGTTGTAAAAATTGTGCATCATCATCTATATAAAAAAAAATACCTAGGTACAATAGCGAATTGTTTTTGATTTTTCTCCAAAAAATTACTTCTTTAAAGGGGAAAATATCAGGTACATTTTGTTACTGTACATTCACCATTTTTTTAAAGCAAAGCAGGAGTTGCACAATTTGGAGAACACTGTAATCACGTTGGTTCCTTGAGGCTAAATGTAATCCATTTACATTCTTTCAAATGGTTGCAGTATTCTCATCAAATTCATTTCAGCAAGGAGGGCTGCAATCACTAAATGATTGCATTAGTAAATATAAGCCTAATACTCGTGATGAACTGGAGTGGAAAGTGAATTCAGGCCTACACAATTTTTTATTAATACTCAATTGGATGTTATTTTTTCAAGTCACAAAATGCTGACGGAATTCAGTACTTCTTGATCACATTGAGCCTTCAATTTCTCTTGGTGATAGCATGAAACATTTCCGGTGACTGTAAGTTGCATACAGCCGGTAAGGTTCGGACTTGATGTGCAATGTGCATAAAGTGACTAGAAATCATGATTGTATGTGTCGGATTTTCATGTTTGCAGACATTTCCCCAACTTAGAACTCGTTCAATTTTTCTTTGAAAAAAATGATTTCGGGCAAAGGTTAGGATGCCAAAACGATTACTAGAAGCAGCATCATGAGGCAAGTCATGAAATCCTTGATGCTCTACAAATTAAAACTAGGTACACCTATAAAAAGACTTTCATGATAGGTAAACACACACACACACCTGTTGCAGTGAAAATATATGTACTTAGATGTGTACGTTTGTAAGATTGGCAGGGAGCTAGGGCATCATGATTGAGACAGAATTTTGCTAATCACTTAGCAAACCAATGCTATGGACAAGAGCTGACCTTAATTTAGGAGACACACACCTGTTGCAACTGAAATACGCATGAGTATGCATATTTAACAGAAATCGTGTGAGGCTGAGGTGTGTGCGTAGTGACTGACACGAATTCAAGTGTGCACTCAAATTTAGGCCAAGCTCTTGTGATCAAAGCCGGAGTAAATGGCTAATAGATATAATGATAGGTGCATTTATCAGGTTCCAATGACAGGAAGGGAAAAATTTGACTCCTCCGCCAAGACCGTCAACAAATGAAAAGACCGAAAGAAGGAGTGGCCAGCTAGAGTCTAAGAAGAGTCAGAAACTATGCATTTGAATAATGCAAGTCTCTTAAAATTAGGAACGGATAAAATTAAACTTAGCAGGGACTTTTTAATCTGTGATCAAACTACGAGATTGTGAGTGATCCTGCTGGTCAAGAAATGCAGTATCATTCTAGGTGTCCTTCAGCAGTGAACAAGGATGAATTAGGTCATAAAATTAACGAACAGTATCTCAAAAGAACTTGGTCAGAAACTGAGGAGGATAAGACCAAGGAGGTTGCTGATCAGAAAACCGGTTGCGACCAGAGATATGTTACGAAAACAGACATGGAGAAGTCAAGATGCACTCTCCAAAACACCTGAGCATGGAACCTGGAAAACACAACAAAGTAATGTGAGGAATTCTAACCTTCATCTATGAGTCGTTCCACATGTATGAAGACGTTGGGAAACGCGGTCACTTGTTTCCTATCTTTCAACAATTGTGCTAAATAATCAGCTGTGCTTTGAGAATTACTAACTAAACTGCTTTCGCACATTTTAACTATATTAAATTTAAATTAGAATAGAAAGGAAAATGTAAACAAATAAGGCACTCTTCGACAAAAATATGTAACAAATTAACTATTCACAGCGTATTTCCTGAGTTGTGGATAAACGATACACCGAAGTCCCACAATTTGCGCAGGAACACTCATTGGGACTAAATAAGAAACTGAACACTGTAGCAACGAATCCAAATGTCACTAAACACATCAAAAGGCTGAGGAACACTGGCTCTCGAATACCTCGTGGGCGAGACGCGAACGCGCATGCGCGGCAAGCAGACGAGTCCATTCTTTCCACTTGTCTTGAGAGAGGGCGTGAGAGGCAGGGGAAGGGAGGTCCAGGCAGCCCTGTTGATTCACTCACGGGAGGGGAAAGCGGGGAACTAAGGAGTGGGGCTTTGACTGGAGACACATGTTGCCTTAATAGGGGTCCGAATAAAAATAAATACTTTAATAAACCACTCATTCCTAAGGCATTCTGATTTTTCCAGCCACATTCTCTGGTTTATAAAAAATTCAGGATTATTTTAACCTGCGATTCTTGGAAATTTGCCCCTTTTTAATTATTTTCTTTAAAGTTAGGAAGTCTCATTTTTCCTTCATTTTTTTCGAAAAAGGACGCACCAACTTATATCCAAAATTTCAAATTAGCCTGAGAGGAGCCACTGGATTTTTTTTTACTTAAAGAATTGTTTTAGAATTTTCAAACAGATGTTGACCCATCCTTTCAATACTCCAGAAAATTTTTGGACATCCTCCTAGAGGCGAGAAAATCAGTTTTTCTGCCCCCTCCTGTGAAATTTGGTTTTGTGGACTTTTACACCCATTAACCGAGAATGGAAATTTGATGCGGGAACTCACTTCATTGGTTATGGGCAAGAATTCTTTGAAGAAAAATAACTATAAATTGTCGGATTTTTTCAGTGAGTGTGTTACAAGCGTTGGCAAAATTATACTAAGTTTGTAGATTAGAAAACATTTTCCGGGGACTGGGCACCCCCGTTGCCCAGCCCGTGAAATGGGCAGTCAGTCCACGGGACGGGACTGGCCGATAAAAAGGCTGGAAATTAAGCGTAATTTCCAGCCTTTTTACCGGAGCCTTTTTTAAATTTCCCCCTTCAGCGGAATGGACTGCTCGTTAATTTGAAATTAAATTTTTACGTTGATCGACGAATGTCTCTGACGAAGCGGACAGAGATGATTTTGCCGCTTTGATGCATCCTGTTCTGCGAATGTGCGTGTTGCCCATTCAAAAATTGAAGGCGCTCCCACTTTTCTCACTGCTTCAAAAATGCCCGGGACTCGTCGGTTGTTGCTCCCGAATAAGAGAGCACCTACCTATTGAGAAACAGTGTTGCCAGTTAGTCACACGAGGCTGGAGTCGGAGTATCCACGGCCAATAATTCAGGTAGGATTTTTACCTGAGAATATTACACTGAGTTGGTTGTTGCGCCTTGATGCAACTATTCCTGTTCCACGGATGTGAGTGTTGTGTGTTCAAAAATTGAAGGCACTCCCACTTTTCTCACCTCTATAGAAATACACGGGAATAATTCTGCCAGGCTAAGGAGGACCGCCATATGAGTCTTTAGATGTTGCATAGTTTCCTCCGATAAAACAGAATTTGCTCGGAAAATTGTGAATATTTTTTTCAATTTCCAGACTATTTTGTACGCAATTTAATCAAAATTATCTGAAAGTTTGAAAGAAAAATATGCATAAATACCGTCAAAAATAGATGTTTTATAGAGGGTATTTTGGCAACTCTCGAATGTTCATTCGGCATTCTTCCTTAGCACGGCAGAGTTGTCGTAAATTATTTCTATCTCAATCCTTATACTATAAAAAAGCATCCCTCTCTGGCTGGTCAACGAATTTTAGGCTGTCGTGAATTTTCTAATTTCCAACTTTTTAAATAAGTCCTGAACAAACTCTGATTGATCTCATCGTCAAGTGCCATTTTCCTTTCACATATCTCTCCCTTGAGAATACCATAACAATGTGTTCTATTGACCGGTAAATAAATATCATTGTAATTAATCGAAAAACATATGTTTCGCTCGTCATCGAAGAGGAAAATAAAATTCAATTCACAAATCAAGCCTGTAACTAAGCTGATAAGCCTCGCAGTACTGCCGTGCCATACCAAGGAAAAACGTCGTATGAACATTCGAGCGTTGCCAAATTTCCTTCAATAAAATGCTTATTTTGAGGGAGAGTAATGAATATTTTCTCTTGAAATTTTCATATAATTTAAATCTTGCTGCTAATAAAATTCTCTGAAAAATTGGAGGGAAAATGTTCACAGGTTTCTCCGAAAATTCGTATATTAACACTAGAAATTTAGCAAGATCCGTGGGCTCATACGGCGTTCTTCCTTAGCACGGCAGAGTGTTCGAGGGGCGACTCTCATTTTTTGATAGAATATGAGGGAGGGAGAGGGGAGAGGGGAGAGGATGAAGTGTAAACTTGAGCCGAGAGCGGAACTCTTAGTCGGAGCCCGTGGCAGTCATTCAAAAATCATAGTTTCATGTTTCCGACTGCACGGCTATTTTTATTCTCATTCTTGAACTTAAAATATGACGGCGAACTTTATAGGTCACTGATTGCTCGCTCGGATTTGATTAAACAAAAATATTAACACTCCATTGACCCGCGCAGAAGTTTAAATGAAGCTCCGTGTTGACTGATTGCAGTGATTTGGAACTGACGGAAAGTCCGCGCGGAAGCTTGATCAGCATTCTTAGTATGTACTCGCATGTATTGAGGAGAAAAATAAGAAAAAAAGAGGGAACAAAAATAAGAGAAATCTACGAAAAGGTTTAAAAATTAACAGTGTGAAATGGACCGCGTTTAGCAGAAAGGAACCAAGCCACATTAGCTATTGCCAAGTTTAACTGGGCAATTTTATTTTTTACAGGAGAACGTATAAGCAGACTCCTTTGCAAATTTTCGGGAATTTGCTTCGTGCTATGCAAAAAAGTCACAGAAATTTGCACAAAAATCCGCAAAACCGTTTTAATTTAAGAAATCAAATTTCCCATTTAAATTTGACAATCGCTGATGTTGCTTGGGTCATTCCTGCTTAACACGGTCCAAATTATATCTCTTATAGACGAGTCATGAATTTTCTAATACTTACTGAGATGCAAGGCGGCTTTATTACATACAAGAGAGAGGGAGAGAAATTGAGAGAGAAATTTCAGAGAGGGGGAGGTGGGAGGGCGAGGAGAGCGGAGAGGTGGGTGGGAGAGAGACAATATGAGCGAAAAATTTCTTTCGTGGTGGTAGTAATTTTTCTTATTAAGTGATTTGATGCGAAATAATCCGCACAGATCTGTTTAAGTTTTATTTTTTATTTTTGTTTTCATTTGAACATTTAACCAGTTACCCTTCATGCTATCCAATTTTCCATGTTTCCTTTTTGTTAAAATCAGGCTGAGGTTTTCCTGTATAATTTTTTTTTCCTCCAAGAAAAATTAAATAATTTACGTTGCATTTACGACATGTTTGAGACGTTGGCCTAGCCCCCTGAGTATTTTTACACGATGATCTTGATACTTTATCTGGTGCAGCATATTCTCCACAGCGGTTTAAGCTTAAAATCGATGAGAAAAAAAAGAGAAAAAAATAATAAGTCATCTGTGCTGGCTCTAAATTGTGTCACAATAGTTGAAACAGGTAGGGTGAAGAGAATCCTATTGATTTGAATTCTAATGTTCATACTCGATCAAGTGTTTGTTCATCAATTTACCACGCATTCGTTTCCAAACGTCTCCAAACGTCTCCATTCGTCTCCAAAATTCTTTTTGCCTATAAAAATCCTTGAAGTGTTACTTGTGAGTGATTGAACGTTTGTGTGATTGTCTAATGTTTTTCATCTCGTAACGCAGCGATGAAAAAAAAACTCTATTAACAATGATGCATAACTCCTTCATGACACAGTCCTATTTTCCAGGTCTATAATTATTCCCTTGGAATCCAAGCCTATCAATCCAATCCAACCGCAAAAATCCGGAGAGGCCATATCATGTCCACGAGTTGAATGAATATCGGGCTCCTAGGTCTCGCTGGAAAACGCCTTCGATTTTGAGGGCGGCAACTTATGCTGCAGAGGAATAGTTCATCGAGAAGTTATCCGTTCAAATCCTATCCTACTAATTGTGAAGTGGTTTTAAGAACTGCTATTGTCTCGGTTTCCAGTTCAAACACCAAGTCTGTCGTGCTAAGGAAGAACGCCGTATGATCCTTCAGATGCTGCCAAGTTTCCTTTGATAAAAACTGAATTTACTGGGGATATTGTGAATATTATTTTCAAAAATTTTCAGACAATTTTGTACGCAATTTAATCTAAAACATCTGAAAATATTGAGGAAAAATATACATAGATTTTTTTCAATGTTACATGTTTTATCCGGGGAAATTTGGCAACTCTCGAATGTTCATACGGCGTTCTTCCTTAGCACGGCAGAAGTGGAGACCAAATTAAGACAGTTTACAGTTTAGCGTCTAAGTTCAAGTGTTGAGGCAAACTCAAGGCGGTAAAAATTAAATTTAGCAAACATGCTGTTTGATTTGTATGTCGTACTCGTATGGGATTTAGATTAATTGGATTTGGAGGAAAGAAGTAGTGAGTTGAGAGAGGTGAATGTTAGTTCTGCCTGAAAATCTTTTTGAACCTGGCAAGTTTTATAGTGAGCGCCTAGTTAACTGTTAGTTTGAGAACGCCGGGAGAGCCTTCAAATACTGGCTATACATCCCGCTTTATCGGGAGGGTAGTTTAGTTGCGTGACCCAACTGAACGCTTAGAACACCTTCAAATCTGGCGATACTTCCCGCTTTTCCGAGAGGTTAGTTTAATTGCGTGACCCAACTGTACGCTTAGAACGCCTTCAAATCTGGCGATACCTCCCGCTTTGCCGGGAGGTTAGTTTAGATGCATGACCCAACCGAACGCTTAGAACGCCTTCAAATCTGGCGAAATCTTTCTGCCAAGTTTTCATTCGAAAACTAAATAACGATTTTAAGACTGATGACTCCCGACACTTCAATGGTAATTGGTTCGGGAATTTGATCGTATATCCAGACCTATTTGCAAAAACTTGTCTAGTAATCCCCTGACATTTAACAGCCATTAATAGACGAGTTTCAATTGATTTTTTGCTCTACAAGCAGTGGCGTGGCGTGTTTTGCGACACATCGGTTTATCTGCCATTTAAAGCTAGGGAGGAGGATCGAT